ATGGCCACCGAAACGCTTCCAGATGTTGCTACGGTCCTGGGGGGGGAATCATATAGGGTATACCAAAAAATGTACACATATACTTTGAATAACGATAAAGGCAGTGTTTATTAAAATCAATTTCATTTTCAAAATTGAGCTATCAGCTGTTAAAGTGTGTATACATTTTTTTTGGAACACCCTGTAGATGGCTGAGAAACTCTGCCATTAATGGGAAAGTGGTGCCTTTTTTTTAAGGCACACATTCAACTATTCACTTAATAATTAATATTTCATCTGAAATCATCCCATGATGCCCACTTGGGGAATGAGCCTCAAAGCATGGGAAAGGAAGCCCCGTGTGGGGTGGCCTCCCCTGAACTGCGGTCAGGGCCCGAGTCAGAGCCCTGTATGCCACAAGCTGTGTTGCCCAGGGCACGTTCCTTAGCCTCCTGGGCCTCAGTTTCCTCGCTGGCCCAAGAGCAGCAATGGCTGCACAGCCCTCACGAGGCAATGAAGGGTAACCGACAGCGCAGTTGGCTTTTAGCCCAGGCAACCCCCGCCGGGAACAAATGTTAACTGGTGGTGGTGCTGTTTCCCATAATCAAAGGTCTCCAGCTAGCTTTGAGAGTCCCAAAGAGGTACCTCGGGGTTTGCCAAAGGAGCGGAGGGGTGGGATGGAGCTCAGCCCCCTCCACTCCGGCTGAAAGCAGAACAGCAGCCCCAGGGCTCTGCCCAGCTCTGCTCAGTGTTAGCTCCTGAGCCAGAAAAAACCTTCCAGGGGCCATATCTGGCCCGGAGACTATAGTTGCTGACCTGAACTGGACCACTCCTTTAGCACCTGGCTCAGGGCGGACCCTGAGGAGGCTTTTAGGGAATGAGTGTTTACACTGGGGTTCTGAGCAGGGTTCAGTCTGGGGGGGGAAAAAAGGTTTCTTGATTTGTGAAGACAAGAAAGGAAACCCCTGGCACTAAGTGATGAGTTTGTAGACTATGCCCACTTGGAAATGCATTTGCCAGGCATTCTGTACTGCACCCTACTCCAAGAACATTTTCCACATCAAATGGATTCTCGGGGTGTCTCCATCACATTCAGGCTGTGGCTCCTGATGGAGGACAATGTTGGATATCCATGCAGCACACATCCCACTGAGGGCTTCGCACTAAGTAGATGCTAACAAAAACACTTGGTGAGAGACAGAGTAACTGCATATAGGCCTCCAATCCATCTGATCAGCTTCCAGGGCAGGTGCAAGTATAGCAATCAATGCTATAGTACAGGCCAAGTACCAGTGGTTTCTACCTATCTGTTGGCACATATGAAGAGGAAAAGAAAAAAATTGTTTAAAAAATTTGAACTCCCTGAAAAATTGCAAGATTATGCTCAAAGACCTAGATTTCTGGCTCACTAGGCATTCTCACTGACTACAATCAGTTGGAACTGAGTGAGGTGGCCCTCTTTAGAAAGGACACCTGCTATCTAGTTTGCTACAGTCCTCACCACTCTCTAATGTCTAGCACCTGGTCCTCTCCTCTCACTGATACTACCTGCCTGGTTTCTGTAGGTGTCTGAGTTTGCCATTTCTTCAACAGAAAAATGCCTCTTTCTCTCCTTCCCTGTGAATGAATATACTAAAGCTTCTACTCCCAGGACTTAGAAAGATGTTATCAAACATCAAGAGAATTTAAACAAACCTCTTGGAGATCCTGGTAAAAACATAGTTTGTAACTTTAAATGTTAACAATTTTTCACAGATAGTAAATATTGACTGAAATAGTTTTTACTTAATGTGAAGAAAAAACAAATGTAGAAGAGATTTTTAAAAAATGTACATACAAAGTCTTTAAAATAAGTCACAACTAAGATAAAAATGATAGTGATTTCATTTAAAATGATAAAAATGATAGTGATTTCATTTAAAAAATAAATACCCAGCTGGTGGAGGTAAGACGAGGGAAAAGATGGGATGGATGGAAGCAAACTGAGTCCTTCTAGGGGATTTGAGGGTTTTACCCTCAAGTTACTCACATCCTTCACTGACAAGTAGGCACAGACATTTCTGCTTAAACTATGGGTCCGCTGGCAAATGACAGAGTGCCGGTCAAATCCGACCACTGTCTGTTTCTGTAAACAGTTTTGTTGGAACGCGATTGCATGTGCTCAGTTACGTGTTGGTTGGTTACTTCTGCTCCACATGGAGGAGCTGAGTATGTGCAACACAGACCTACGGCCCACGAACCTGAAAATGCTGTTGGCTGACTCTGGCTTAAGCAATCACTACCCCCCTCTCAAAGGTAAACTGCCTGGAATTCTAAAGCAAGGTCACCTTCCCCTTGGAAAGAAGTGAACCTGCCCACTGAAACGAAGGTGGTGAGGGAGACACCCTGATCTGCAGTGTGGGGATGGAGCAGAGTTCTTGGATGTCACTTTTAATGCCAGCTCATTGGGGACCACTGTCTCCTCACGCTCTTTAATAACGTCCAGGATGACTGCAAAAAAAGACCTGCTGGGGCCTCCTCATAGCCATCTTGATTGTGTGGCCTTTGGACTCCTCCCTCCTTGTCATAGACAGCAAGGTGACTCCATTTATCTACACCTCCTCTGCACTAAGGGCTGTTACCACCCCCACTTTGCAGAGGACACTGAGTAAAGACTGGCCTTAGGATGCCGAGTGGGTAAGGGGCAGAGCCTTCTGGGTGATCTGCCAAGATCGCAGACTCTCAGATGCCTGACGTTTGAAGCTGGGGACCCACGTGCCCCACACCTGGGGTTGGGAGTCCCCAAGGTTTACCATCTGTTTCTCTACTTTCTCTGGAATCTGGAACTGGACTCCAGCTGCAATGGCTCATTCCACTCATCTGGAACATGCCCCAGGTCCTGCCCAGTCCAGTCTCTCAAGGTGTAAACACTCCCAACCTAAGTTCTCAGCACTCATTTTTTTCGGGTGTGGGCAAAGCGGTGCTTAAGAGGAGCTGCCTGACCACTCCTTTGCCAGCCCTCAGCCCAGAGCCTGAGCCGCTCAAGCTCGAAGATCAATTCCAGAGCCACCACTTGTCTGGGGAGAACAACACTGGCCCAGCCATCATCACCATCAACTCCTAACTGGGACCTCTGTGTCCACGCTGGCCTCCCCTGTATAATCTCCAGAGGCCTGAGTGACCTCCCCAAAAAGTTCATCAGATGAGTGAGTCTCCTACTGAAATCCACCACTGGTTTACCATCTGTTAGAATCGAATCCTCGGCATGGCTGACAAGCCCCTTCCCGCTCTGAGCTCTGCCCTTCTCTGAACCCATCCCATCCCCCTCCTCCTGGCTCTCTGGGCCACACTGGCCTTCTCACGGCTTCTTGACTGCTCCAAGTTAACCCCCGCTTTGGGGTCTCTGCATCTGCAGCTCCTAGAATGTTCCTACATGATCACCGCATGGGAGCTCCTCATCATTGGGTCTCTGCTCAAACATCATTCCTCCACCACTCGAGGCTTTGCGGTCACTGTGCCCCACTTAGCACTTACCAGTCTTTGAAGCAATGCATTTGTGTGCTGGAATACTCTCAAGCTCCCCACCAGCACATAAACCCCCGAAGAATGAAGGCCTGTTTTGATCTGTGCTCTATTCCCAATGCCTAGTTCAGTGCCTGGTACACACCGGGTTGTCCATAAATATTTCTGTAATATCTTCAAATCTAAGAAATTCACTGTTTTCACAGCAATTCCGAGAGGGAATGTCACTGTTCATGTAGGAATGGCTTCAGACAGCTTTGCCAGCGGCCTGAGAGTCCCTGCACTCACTTCCACAGACGGCTGCTCTGCACTCTCCCTAAAACCAGGACACACGGAGCAACACCCATGGGAAGCCCACACTCCGAAGCGAGTCCACACCAGCTCTCAGGAGCATGTAATTCAAAACATGAAAATTTATTCTAAGTTGTATCTTAACATACGAGATCTCAGCTTTAGATGAATTTTAATGTTTACAAGTGCAAAAGCAAATAAATATTTACCAGTTGCTTTTTTTTTTTTTTTTGCACTTTTATAACTCCAAAACAGCTTAGACGCAAAAAATTGTTGTTAAACATCTTGTAGTTTGGCAAAAGGAAGAATTTCTTATTAAGAAAACTCCTCACAACAATAACAGCCCCCGATGCTCAGGGTTCCTCGCAGAAACCATCAGGATGGCTTAGTAACATCTGAACGTACGACAGAGCAAAACTGCTGCTGGCTAGGGTGCTGGCGGTCACATCTCACAGCGGAGGCCGGACCAGCCATGCCCTGGTCTCACCACCTATAAACCGGGGCTCTGGTGGAGAGCCCTATTTCTTGGGATGGGACCGTGGGCTCCTACAGCCCTCACGATGCAAGAGCCTCTCACCCTGTAGGTTTCCATGTCACTTCCCCAGAGTCCCTGCCCTCCTCACGACTCTCTTCGACAGCAGGCTGTCTACGTCCTTTATCACCATTTCATGGCCTCCAACTTCAGTGAGTTGGTTTTCTGGCTTGCCAGCTGACTTTCTTGCTTGCTTTCTAACATCTTGCCCCTGACTTCCTGGCGTGAGCTCGAGCTACCTGCCAGCACCTCTGTCTCCTGCTTATACTGTGAGCTTCCAGACGCAGGGCCAGGCTCCCCTGGGTTAGCACCCAGCCCAGTGCCTCGCACCAAGAAATATAGGTGTTGCATAAGCGAATAAGGAATTAAATCTTAATAAATTTAATATCGAGGCCATCTTTACTCATTTACTCCATTGCGTGGTTGAAGTCCTTGGAGTTACTTTGAGGAAAGTATATTTTACCAGGAACAAATATCAAGGCAAGACTTATTCCAGCAACAATAAGAAAGTAGGTTACTTTTCCTGAAATAAAATACAGAGAGACACACACATGTGCGCGTGCACACGCACACACGCACGCACACCTTCTATACCAGGGACACACACTCCAGGAGCACTAAGCACTTTCTGGATCCGCACCCCCGAACCCAACTGCTCAGAGCAGTGTGGAGCCTCAGATGCGGACAAGCCACCTACCTGGATTAACCGTGATAAATTTGCTATCCTCGGAAAATCGGTCCCCTCGGGACACAGGCTTTTTAGACGGCATTTCGGGACTCTTGCGATCACTCCCTTCGTCATGTTCCTCTGTGACGGTGGGGGGCACCTGGGTGGAGGTGACCGAATCGGAGTCCGGGGCGGCACCCCTCCTGTCATCGGGCTGGGCGGTGGGGACGGCAGTGTGGTCCTGCTGGGGCCCAGGTATAGTCCGACGCCCCCCGTCCTGGGCGGTTCTACCGGGAGATGAGGGCCCGGGCGCGGGCTCGGCCTGGCCGCGGCCTGGGGCGGCGTGGGTCACCCCGCTCCTGTCCCTCTTCCCGGAGTCCTTCTCCCCCTCCTCCTCGTGCTCCCGCTCCCCATCCTCACTCTCGCTCTTCTCGTCCTCCCCATCCTCAGTGCCCTCGCCGTCCTTGCTCGGCGCCGCGTCGCCATCGGGGCCCGGGGACGCCACGGCCTCCGTGGTGGCCAGGACCGGCCTGACGGCCTGCTTGCTGGCCGCCGCGGCTGTGGGGAGGCGTGTGGGCCACACGGTGCTGGGGAAGGAGGAGATGCCGCCACCGCCGAACCCCAGGCCGGCCAGCAGCGTGCTGGTGACCACCGAGGCTACAGTCGCCTGGCTGCCGCTGGAGGATGGGCCCATCCCAGTCGCCATGGAAACGAATGAGAAGGGGATGCCAGAGGATGTCCAGGTCGAGGACCCCGAGCTGATGGGGGCCATGTCGGCCGAAGAGGCAGGAGATGCTGTGGGCTTGAAAGGGCCACCCAGGTGGTGGAGGGGAGGGACAAAGAAAGAGAAAGCAGAGAAGCGTCAGTCATTCGATTGGGAAGGTTATGGCCTGCAAAGGGCTTTCCTGGTTTTTAATTTTACTCGTGGGGTTTGCCAAAGCTGACCTTAGTGATCATGGGTGACCATCTCTGATTAATGAGATGACCAGCTCATGACAATAATCACTGCTCCATTTAACAATTGCCAACGATGTGCTGGGATTTCCCATGGTACCTGACAAGGTCATCACTCAGTTTTACAGATGGGGAAACTGAGGCACAGAAATGTCAAGGGGCGGAGGCAGGGCAGGTAGCTTATGTTCAAGCCTCAGCTCACTCTTCCCACCGTACCAAACCGGGGCTCAATTGTGGGACTGTGCTAAATACGACAGCTCGGGAAGACAACCAGTGTTGCTCTGAGTTCTGAGCTTAATTTTAGTTCTTAGATCCTGGTGTGGAGAATCCAGAAATCCATCTGATGGTCTACACAGTTCAAAACAGATGGCCAGAACACCTTTATCGCTTTATCGCAAAGTTTTAGTTTGAGACTTTTGGAGTTTGAAGATGATTAAGGTAGCAAATGCTGAGATCTGAAGCTGCTTAATGAAATGCCAGATGCCACACAAGACGAGGCGCTCGGTCCACGAGGGTCAGGCAGCCTCGGCCCCTCATGTGCTCTCTGGGTGATGCTGGGCACATCACCCTAACTCATTGGGCCTCGGTTTCCTGAACCATAAAACAGAAATAATGGGAACACCAATTTTGTGGGATGCTGTGAGGAGTAAGAAAAGTAATAAATAATCTTAAAATAATCTGTGCTTGAAACCCAGGAAATGCTTAGTACGTTTTAGGCTTTTACTGTTATTACCAACTATGTGGTCAATATTATGATTATTAGTTGCACTAGAAATGGTAAAACTTAGATATTGACTGAGGCTTCAGAAATTTTCAGATCCACCTAACTCTGGGCAAATGACAACCTCTGAATTTTAGCATATGCCCAGCGAAGGGCTTGGAGCAGCCCTGTGCAATCCCACATCCTATGACCCTACAGATAGCAGATCATTAAAAACTTGAGAATTTTTTCCTTGACAAAAATCATACTGTACATAACACTACTGCTTTCACGCTGTTGCACAGCTTGTTTTCATAACATACTGAATTATAAACAGTGAATGATGTAAATTTTTCTCTATTTTAACGCCTTTACATGAAGCCGTTTAACAACATGATACTGCCACCTCGTGGCGGCCGCTTTAACTACATGCAAATTAACAACCAGGACAAAACAATTGCCCGTCTTCACTTACCACGCCCGTTTTAACGATTCTGGTCCCTTGGAATATTCGAGTGGTGTTAGCTGAGAAACGAAAAAATTACATTGTAAACTATGAATTGTTGTTTTTGTGTTTGTTCCAACAAAATTTTACCCACAGACGTAAATGTGAATTACATACAACTTTCATGTTATGAAATATTATTCCTTTGTAGATTCCCCCCCCCCCCCCCAACCACTTAAGAATGACAAGCCCTTCTTAGATCGTGAGTCATTAAAAAATATGCAGAGGCTAGATTTGGTCTGTGGGCTGCAATTTGCTGAATCTTGTCTTAAGCTATTAGTTTAAAGTTTTTTTTAATTGTTACTGATTTTGGATTTATTGAGGCAAAACTTAAAGTAAAATGTACAAACCTTAAGTGTATAGTCCAGTTAGTTTTTACCTCTGTAAACACCTGTGTACCTACCACCCATTCTGAGATACAGACATCCTCCCGCTCCCCAGCAGGTCTGCAGGTGCCCCACCCGGTCAATACCCCCCTCCCCTTCCCAAAGGCACCCACCATCCTGGCCTCCGTCAGAGTTCTGTTCTGAACTTCATATAAGTGGAATCGTATTATTTCACTATTCCTCTCTATTTGATTTTTGTTTAAAATTTTTCATAGGATCCTTTCAGTGATTACAATAGACATCCTAAATTTACTATAGTTTACCTTAAATTAGCACTTTTAACACTTCCTAAGAATGTAAGAACTATACGATTATTTAACTCTACTTGTCCACCTCGCCTTTGGCGTATTGTCATACACTTTATTTCTTCTTAAGTTTTAACACCCAGCGTTGCTTTAAATGGTCAGATTATTTTATACTAACCACACACTCCTCCTCCTGGTGTTTGGATATTATTATTCAACAATATTACATTATAACTTTAACATAACACAAAACTTACCATCTTAGCCACTTTTGCGTACACAGTTCAGTCAAGTGCGCTCACAATGCTGTGCGACGGAGCCCCAGACGTCGCCTCTCGTAAACCTGACGCTCTGCCCCCATTAAACAACTGCCACTCCCGTGCCCCAGCGCCCAGAAACGCCCGTGCTGCTCTGTTTCCTAGTACGTCACTGAACTGGAATCACATGTTTGTCTTTTGTAACAGGCTTCTTTCACTTAGCACAACGTCCTCACAGTGCCTCCCCGTGTCGGAATTCCCTTCCTTTTCAAGGCTGAATAATAACCCACCGCACGTGTGCGGCACTTCGCTTCCTTTCATTCCTGATGGGTGTCTGGGCTGTTGCCACCTTTTCGCTGCCGTGAATAACGCTGAACAGTACAACTTTAGAAAAGGACATCAAATTACGTTTTTGTCGTTATCTCGAAAACCAATAATGCTGCATAAACTAGAGGTCTGCTTCCTGTGCAGACACGGCACTGAAAAACTGGTAAGAAACGCTAAACAAGAAATAGCATTTGTGCCTGCTGTTATTTTTATCTAAACCAGAAGTGGCAGGTGACCAATATAACTTTTGTTTGGCCTGCAGGCTATTTTGAAAAACTGAATTTGCTGCCATTGTACACAGTAGCTTTGTCAACACTGTGTACAAGGCAGCTTTAGCCTAAAAAAAAAAATCCCAAATTCCAGCTTATCCTGAAAAATCACAGTATTTGGCAAAACTGAGCTCACCTTCCTGCAGGGCAACATTCTGCTGAAGCTAAGTGTCAGTCACCTGCTCTCAGTGGGCACAGGACCTCCACCTTCCCACGGACAGCCGCCCGCCTTTGTGCATGTCCTCTGCCGGGCCCTGCGCACCAAGTATGCAACTCCTGGCCTAACCAGATATTCATTCTGGACAGTTGTAAAGTGAAATGTGCAGAGACAAATGCAGGGACAGACCGATCGAGAAGTCAATGCCACCAGGTCACACGAGGCAGCCTAAGCAACAAAGGGCTCTCGGGACTAAGCAGAACCTCAGACCATCCTTTAGTTGTTGAAGGATCCTTGCTGCGTGGACTGTCTCAGACAGGTCTGCGTGCCTCCCTTTGTTAAGACAAAAAGAGAAGTTCCCAGGAGACCTGCTCCACCTGCCCTTTCCAAAGGCTCTGATGAAGGCCCCTCCATCCGCAGGCCTGCCTTTCATTAATCTTGAACAATTTCCAGCGGGACAGTTCTGGTCGTGGTGGCAGGAGCGCTGAACCTGGGTCCACAGGCCTAATGGAACGCACGTACAGGGAAGGTGACACTGCTCTGTCCCTGAGTTCTCACTGAGATGCAGCCCTTCCTTCCACCATGAACACAGCAACAGACCTCAGCTTCGTGAACAGGACCGGGGGCTTTGTCTCCAATGGAAACGAGATTTTCTTACTGCCTCATATGTGCAGGTCTTTGGGAATAATTTCTGTTCATCCCTCAGAAATCACAGCAGCCAACAGGCCCACCACTCGTCACTTAATTCTTTAATGAGAACACGCGCATGTTACTACAGTCCAAATTTGTTAGTTTAAAATATTTTGACAACTGCATTTGAACATAATTGGTTTCCTTTCCTATGTATTTTATTTTTTTATGTTAAATCATTTTAAGAGACAGTCTATCAGCTTTGCCTCCAAGGTGCCTAATGGGTTTGTGACTCAAACAAAAACTCAAGAATCCCTATTTTCCAGGACTGTTGAGCGTTACAAAAAGGCGTTGAACATTTAATAAATCAGTACTGTTATCTGTTTGTTGAAGACTGGGGCATGGGGCTAATATTTATTCTTCAGGGTGGTCCACTGCTGTGCAGAAATGACTGGGCTTTGAAATAAGGAATCCAGACCCAGCTTCGTAGCCAAGTGATTTCTCACAGGTACTCACTCACCTGCCTCAAACGCCATTTCCCTTCTGTAAATAACACCTGCATTACCAGCTGCCACGAGGTCAGATAAAATAACTTATGGGCAAACGCTCTGTAACTGTGATTCACTCCACAGCTACTGCTTGCTACTATTACTATTATATTTATCACAGTAAGGTAAATGTGACATATTTACATAGAATGTAACTACTGGTATATTTACTATGATAAGGTAAATATTCCCTATGGCTTCCTCATGCTCCCAAGTCAGAGGTAAAAGTTATCACTCAGAAACCTAATTCTCTAAGCTTTTCTCCTTTCCCCGCTAAAACTTAATTCCTAAGAGTTAGTTTTGTGCCCTGGCCTCTACTGCTCACCAGAAAAGGTAAGCTAGCTTCCTCCACTAAGATTTCATTTTCACTGGAGGCTGCAGGGCAGATGCTGAAGCCATTGTGGGGAGGAGAAAAGGGTCCGTGCCCTTTGTCAACATACGGGGACAAACACAACACATACAGTTTGTGAAGTCATGTCCACCTCTGAACAAAGGAAGTCTACAGACAAACGAGACACCAGCCATTTTCAACAAGTCCCTGTGATCAGACATTTTAAATATCCCATGCTTAGAATTTATAGCTGACAAGGCCTTTTTGAATTACATTACATTACAAACATTTAATTTTTCAAAGTCCATGCAGAAGCCAGCAAGCTCGGGGGCCCATTAGTCAGGAAAGGCAGTTCTATGGCTCCCAGGCTCCTGGTTGGAGCACACGGGAGACCTGATCATGATTTATGTGTCCAGGGCCCTGGCCTCAGCCAGCGCCCACTCTGGCCTCCTGTTCTTGCTCCCCTGGGCTGGCACAGACCTGGCCTTGGAACTGCGGTCCCTCCTCAACGCTGGCAAAGGGGCAGAGCACAAGTGGACACAGTGAGCATGATTTATTTGTGAAAAGCATACAGCATGCTAATTTCAATTAGTTTAAATGGAAGGGTGAGATAATGTGGACATTAGCAAAGAATACTTAAACACTAAATGCAAAATTATAGAGCTGGAAGGGAGCCTTGGAGGGAATCTAGGCTGGAGGGCTTCTTACCCTGGGTTCATCATTTATGACTTTTTAAATCTAACCTAATATAAGGGGATATTTATAGTGGGTGCCAGACACTATGCGAATTGCTTAGCATGCATCACCCCATGCCGTTCTATAAGGACGCTGGGAGGTTGGTACTATTAATATGACCACATTTTGGACTGTGAAACTGAAGCTTAGGAAAGTTAATAAAAATTCTCAGAACTGCAGAAATACTAAGTGCGGCCAGGACTCAAACTTGGGACCCTCATTCCAGGGCCTCAGTTCTCAACCAGGACTTCTGTGTTCATTGTGCCTGCCAGTCACCGGGCTCTCTGGTTAAGACTCAGACTCCTGGGCCCCACCCTCAGAGATGCTGAGGTGACCGATCTGGGGGGCCCTGAATGTGCATTTCTCACAGGCTTCAGATGCAGCTGCTGCTGGAACTACACACTGTAGTAGGGGTCCTGAAGTTGTATGCTCAGTTTTGGCTTTTCTAGGAAAAAGCCTTCACCAGATACATAACTCAAAAAGGTGGAGAACCACGCCTGGTAGGGAGGTTTCCCCTGAAACTGAGGACCCAGGAAGAGGAGACCCTCCTCAGGGAGGGCCTCGGTCCTGCAGAGGCAAGCTGACGCCCTGATCCCTCCACGCTGGTCTCAGCACACATCACAAAACCAAGTCCCATAGGTTGGTGGCCTGGTTTTGTAAATAAAATTTCATTGGAACTAGGACTGGAGTTGGGTTAGGGCAGTGATTTTCAACCTTTTCATCTCAGGGCACACACAAACTAATTACTAAAATTCTGCAGCACACCAAAAAATGTATTATATTTTTGCCAATCTGACAAGGAAAATCAGCATATTTTTGCTTCATCACACAGGACAGCCACTGCTGGGTTGTTTGTTGTCATCTTTTTATTTGACAATCTAAGGGAAAAGAGGTCAGTGCCCCTGACTAAACAGTCAGGCGCCGCATGATTTAAAAACTCTTCCGGCATACCAGTTGGAAGTTGTTGAGTTAGGGCAAGTAAGACAGAGTGGATCCCAACTTTATTTAAAATTCTATTATGTTGTTCATGATTTTTTTGAATTGACTTTGTTTTTTAAAAATATTCCATTAAAATGTCATATGTCTTGATTATTGAGTTTTTTGCAGCCCTTTAAGTTTTGCACCTAGGTGCCTCACCCTAGTCCTGGCCCTAGAACTTTCTGCCAATCCCCCAAATCAGCAGGAACAAATCCTATTTCTCAAGATGCTGAAGGGTCCTGCCAGCTGGAAGGGGGAGCTGTGTCTGCTGGGCCCTAGTTTTTGGATCACGCTAGAAATCCCAGCGGGGACTCTGTGGTCTGATACAGCGTCAGGCAAACAAGTATAGTAACAGTCACCGCTCTGCTCTGCCTCCCCTCTTCTGGCCTATGAAACCCCCGACCTAAACAACAGGCCTAAATCCCTGAGGCTCCCGTTGTGATTTGAAGCCCCACAGAGCCTTAGGCCAGGCTTGTTTTCTTCTGTCCAAGCACCTGCGTGGGAAAAACACACAGACTGGGGGGAGGGGGTCCGGAGCATCCCGGCCTCACCTTGAAAGAGCATGGTCTGGCTGAAGTCGCTGCGCATGTCGTTCCGGCACACGGCCTGGACGCGGAACAGGTAAAGGCTGTCCGGTGAGACGTGGCTGATGGTGGCTTTCTGCAGGTGAAGTGAGAAAAGCAGTGAGCAGGCCCGGAGGCCAGTGCACACCCACCTTCTAAGCCAAATCTAAAGCAATGCGGAGCACCGCTCTCAGGCTTGTGTGGCCACGCACAGCCGACAGGCGTGATGCTCCCGCGGACCAAAGGCCTGCTCCGAAAGGAAGGAGCGGTCAGAAAGAACCTGGCCTGGAGTCTGCTTTCAACAGGGAAATACACAGGGTGAGAGGTAACAAAACCAGCCCGGACTCTCCTGGCTGAGGCCTGGACTGCGCCTTCAGCCCTCTTTATACTTGTGAGTCTACCTCTCTTCACTAATCTACCTTCTAGACTGTAATTATTTGCCCTAGACGGCCTCTGGAATTAGCAAGTGCACCAAATTTCCAGAGCCACGCACAGTTTAAAACATCAGCAGCAAGATCTGCAGTTTAAAGGCCTCGCCATACCTCGACCATGGGTAATATGGGGCACGATGCCAGGAAGGATACCCGGCTGGAGGTCAGGTAAGGTTAGATGCAGCCTTTCCCCCACTCACAGGCTGTGATCCTGAGCCAGGTGCTCAGTGTCTTTGGCCTCTGCTGTCTTCCCGTGTAAAATGGGGAGAGAAACAGCTACCTCGCAGGGTCCTTGTGAAAGCCAGATGACACAGCCCGGCAAATCTGTTCATATGTAGCCCACAACACGCGATGGAAAGAATGGCCCTGGTCTAATACAGGGCCAGCCAGCCCCAGCTCACAGTCCAAACCTGGCCCCGTCTGTTTTTGTAAATAAAGTTTTACTGGGACCCAGCCACACTCATTCCTTTCCATGCTGCCTACGGCAGCTTTCACCCTACCGTGGCAGGGCTGAGTTGTTGCCACAGTGACCTTACAGGTCATGTCCCGTAAACCCTAAAATCTTTACTATCTGGCCCTTTCTAGAAAAAGTTTGCCAATCCCCAGTCATTAGACACCTGCTAAATCCAGGCTCTCATTCCTCAAAGCTTTATTCCAAGAGTCTTCAAAACTGAGAAAAGAGAAAGTACCTAAAAAGCAGACCGCGCCTGCTTTGTGCAGAAACAAACAAAAGCAGCCGATTTCAAAGACCCCTAATGGATGAGGTGTCGTCCCTGAAACGGGCTCTGGGCCAAGTATCAAAAGCAGCCTTGGGAGCTCAACCGCCGGGCGGGCTCTCCCGCTGCAGCGACTGGAGACCTCTGACCGACGGGCATGAATGGGGCCGTGGCCACGCCTGCTGCGGCTGCGAGGAACGGCTCCGGGGACAGCAGCAGGCAGCCGCACCCTGGCTCACTTTCGGCCTCACCTCTCCCTCTTGGAGAGGCCGCAGTAACGCCCGGCCCGAGCCTGAAGTGAGGATGCGGGAGGGCGCGTGCCCCGCAAACGGCCGCGCCACCGTTAAATATGACTTAGGTTTCCGGGCCATGGTCACCCTCAGCTGGAGGACAGTTTTCGTGCCGCTAAGCGCGCCTGACTTCCTGAGGAATTAAGAAAATTAATTGCGTGTCCCCAGAGAAACTAAGCACCTCTAGACATTCCTACGGAAAAGCACTTGCCGTCAAGGCGCGTTTCCCTCTGCATCGCTCTCTCTCTGAACCGAATTCATGCCTCGTTCTCTGAACCCCTGACCCCGTCTTCTGTTAGGGCAAAGTCTCCGCGCCATCTGGCGGGGATTTATTAGGTTCACGGCAAGCCAGCATCTATTCATCTTGGCGTGTTTAATTATTTTTCCTTAGAACAGGAAACCGCCTAAGCGCCTACGCAGTCTCTGCTGATTAACGCGGCAGCCACCTCTACTCCGGGAAGAAAATCCCCGTGGGCTTCCAGTGGTGACAACAGAGAGGTTAAAACACATCACAACCTTGGGGGATTTTCCGGAGATTCCTCTCGTTTCATGAAGCTCATCACCCCCTAATGTGACCCAGATAACAACGTCTGGTGGGGAAATGGAAGATATAAATGAAAACGAAGCTAAAGGATCTTCATCTAAGGAATACAGAAAGTATTCTTCCATCACCGATTGAATGGGCCCCGGGGGACTCGCCCTGGGAGGGGAAAAAGTGATCGCCGTCATTAAGAACCCCACTCTGTGACTGCATTTCTCATGTGCACACACAATCATGGATTTCATTATTCCAAAGCCTGCCTTTGATTAATGATAAAAGCGCAGGCTTTCAAACCCAAAGGCGCCACTTTGAGTTCTGTGCGAAGACGTGAAGACTAGTGCCTGTTGGAGGGTTTGCTTTCCCGGGGGCGGGGGAGACGCTTCTGCAAACATCTGATCTCAATGGCTTTGCTGGGTGTTGGCCACTACACATTTTATGCAAATTTTAAGAAGAAATGTGGGGCTGGGCATGTAGCTCACAGTGAGGTCAGATGTCTGAGGGTCGGGGGACAGTGGTCACAGGGATCCAGCAGGCAGGAATGGGTGAGGCGGATCCGGATCAGATGGGAAAGGGAGTGTGGGGACAGCGGGCAGCTGCCTGGTGGGGGGGACAGTAGCAGCAGGAGAGAAAGGGGAGGAATAACTGTAGCAATAGTAACTGCTGCTCACACAGTGCTTCCCAGGCGCCGGGACCTGTGGCTCATGCACACAGCAGTTAATATTTACTACAATCCTATTGGATGCAAAGGGCTTAACAGAAGCTTTCTGTGTCTATATGAATGAAAGACAAAGGAGTCGATTTTAAAGGGCCCAATTATAAAGAAATTAACCAGCTTTCCCGGGTGGCAATGGCCAGCAGGTGTGAGGGTGGAGGGGGCCCAGGCAGGCTCGGCCACAGCGCACGCTGGGGGCCCCTGCAGGGAGGCAGAGCGGTGGCAGCGTGGCGTTGAGGGGACAGAAAGTCTGCCCGCAGTGCCTGGCAGAGACACGTGGTGGGGACCCCTCTCCAAACTGCAAGGGGAGCAGGCACCCCGACTTTTACCAAGTCTTTGTCGCTGTCCTTGGTAAACGTCTTCTCCTTCTCGTCTTCGTTCTTGGTCCAGCTGTAGGAGATCATGTAGTTAATGATGGGCGGGTGGTAGATGGTCTCCGGCTGGCTCCAGGACACCTGCAGCGCCGTCTGGTTCAGGGGCTGCACCTTCATGTGGATGGGCGGAGAGCTGCAGACTGAAGACACACGGCGAGCTCAGCGGGCTCCCAGCACAACGCGCCACCCACAGGTCTGCCCCGTGGCCTCAGAGCCCCGCCTCGAACTCCTGACGGAGGCACACAGAACACCCCCACTCCCTTCACCTGAATCTGCCCATCAATGTTTTGCCACCTCTCTCCTCGCTCTTTGTACACGACACACACACACAC